ACAAAAAACAATTCCTAAAAAACCATCCCCAAAAGTGAAAAACACCCCTCGTGTTTCAAAGCTTCCAAAATAAGCAACCCATTTGCATTCATGAAAATATCTTTTCCTTTGAAGGAAGTTTGCTGCCATTGTTCCTGTCACCAGTAAGTGACAATGTGGCACATCACTGAATGTCAGCATCGCTCAAGGATGAATAYATTGGCCCATCAAGAAGGAAAGCAGCAGCTGCCATATTTTTACTGCTTTTTCCAGGTCTCTGGGCTCCAGCCTGACAGATACCAGGCAGAGATGTTTGTTACGTGAAGGAGCATCGACTTTAGATCACATTAAGGATTTTTCTCACCCAGTTATTTGCAGATATAAAAAGTCCAGACTTCAAGAGTGAAGTGAAGTGAAAGCTTAGTGGCACCAAGATCTAAGTCTGGAGGCATATTGGTCGAAAAAGAAAGTCTGAGGAATTCTCAAGCTTGTCATAGGAGGACATTGATCTGTTCTGAGGAAGCCACCAAGTTAATTAGAGGGATGGAGCACCTCTCCTAAGAGGAAAGGCTGAGGCAATTGGGATTGCTCAGACTGGAAAAGAGAAGGGTTTATGGTCACCTGATTGTGGCTTTCAAGTACCTGAAAGGAGCCTGCAAGAAAGATGGAGAGAGACAATTTACAAGAGCCTGGAGTGACAGGACAATGGGGAATGGCTTCAAACCAAAACAGAGGAGGTTYAGTAGGAAGAAATTCCTTATTGTGAGGGTGGTGAGGCCCTGGCACAGGTTTCCCRGGGAAGCTGTGGCTGCCCCATCCCTGGAAGTRTCCAAGGCCAGGTTGGATGGGGCTTGGARMAACCTGGGATAGTGGAAGGTGTCCCTTTGCATGGCAGAGGGGGTGGGAACTGGATGATCTTGAAGGTCCCTTCCAACCCAAACTTTCCTGTGATTCTATGGCTCTTTCAGCCAGTGAGTTTTGCTGTGTGAAGATAGATTTGMGTACATTTGGTCTGCACAAAGAGGTAGAGAACTGGTAAATTACTTCTGTGTGTTTCTGCTCTTGCAATGTTAAAATAGGGGGCCACTATGTGAACTTGGAATCTTTTCCCATTTTAGGGAGTTGGGAAGGYTACAGACACCCAAAGCTTGGTTCAAAAACTGCTCAAAAGAGTCAGAAATGTGACACTTTAAAAAGTGTAAAGTGTTTTCAGGACAATCTTGGTCTTTCCTTGTGGCTTTGAGAAAGGAGATGGAGCTGCAAACAGCAATGGAAGTGGTGAAAGTTGAATTAGAGTAGTTGAGATAAAGCGTGTAGTTTTTGAGTGTTATTCTGAAATACATACACAGGTGGGATGTTAAAACAACTCTTCTAAAACACAGAACAGTGTTTCCTTTCCCCATGGGCAAAAAAAAAAAAAAAAAAAAAAAAAAAAAAAAAAAGAAAAAAAGCACTGACTCCTATTCAGGTCAACTTTATTCTTGGTTACAAGACAAGCAAAAGCCCACAAAAGTGGACAAATATGCACTTGCTTTCATTAGATTCCAATAAAAATATTGGCAGCTGTGTTGTTGATACTTTTTCAGAGGAACTGAGGATTTGAAGATTCTCTTCTCCCTAACACCAGTGACAAAGCTATTTTCATGGAAGTTTGCCTACACATCACAGTATGACCAATCAAAGTACAGGTTTGCAAAAGTAAAATAGAGATGCTCAGTATGGAATACTAGGAAAGTTTCAGACTGTCAGAGAACTTATGGTTCAGTTGGGTGGTCATCTATGAGTATGGAAAGGAGTTACAATCACCTCAAACRTAATTTATTTCTCACAGTGCCAAGACTTTAATCCTTGGATGCTTTGGCTGCAGAATTCTTCTGCTCCCATGACAGTGAAGTTTAGTGCAGATGAACCTCTTCTGGCCATCTGGAGATCTTGTCATTTGTACATCAGCTCCCCAAAGTTGTCCTCAATCCATGCCAGAACCTCCTGGAATATTCATGCCCTGCTGTGTTGCCTTTCCAACAGATATTGGAGTGGTTGAAATCCCCTGTGAGGACCAGAGCCTGCAAAGATGAGGCTGTTCCTCTCTGTACAGGGTCTCACCCACTTTGTCTATCCTGTCTTTAATCCTGACCCATAACCTTTCCATCAGATTCTCATCCATCCCCAGGATCCCATGAACCCCAGCTGCTCCCTCACATAAAAGGCAACTCTTCCTCCTTGTTTTTCCTGCCCAGCCCTTCCTAAAAGAGCCTMGCTTCCTACAAGGCAACACTTCATCAAGTCATGATCCCAACAAAACTGAAGCTCTCCAACTTCACATAGATCTCCAATTCCTCAGGTTTATCCCCTATACTTTGTGCATTTAGCACCTCAGAATGTTCAGCTCCTGCAGAGGATTTCGGATATTTGTCCATGATGATGATGCCTGATAGGCACTTCCCTGCTCACTTCCAGGTCTGAAGGTGACCCTGCCTACACCCCATTTTTTTGATGACTTTGGGAACCCTTCCTGTCACATAACCCTCTGTCTTTTTCTCAGCAATCCTGTCCTCTGCTCCCATGGGATTGCTGGTCACWCTCTCCCTCCCCCATCATTAAGATCTTCCTTATGTGGTAGATTCCATTTCTCCCAAGCACCTGCAAATCCACAATCAGGGTCCCACAGAACCCAAAACCACGTCACCAACACCAATTCTACAGCCAGCTATCAATTTCTCCTTTTAATGTCCTTCTCCTTGCACTCCTTCCCCTCACCAGCAGCCTCTGTGATGAACTGGGATGCTTTTGCCAAGAGCTCCTGCAGGATTGTGTTGGAAAGGCTCTGCAGATCCCCAGCTAACCCAGGCCATTGGCTTGTTTTGGCTTCAAAGGCTTGGGCTCACTGATATGGCAATGCATAATTAAATATTTGTATCAAAGAGATGTCATGACCAGGAGCTTGAGCACAGAGTTTGTTTGCAGAAGACATAAAATAACAGAGATATCCTCTCCCAAGTCTGCATTCTATTTCATCCCTGAATGACAGAAATTGCTCTCTCCCCTAGAGAGTGTCACCAAGGTCTTCATTAAGGAGCTAGCCCACATACCAGAAAAACTCCTTTTAGGTTTTTTTTAAGAAGCACAGGTGACTCTGCCTGTGCCATGCACAGACCAGACAAACTCTCCCCACAGTTCTCTTCAGCTCAGGTGAACCAGAGAGGGGTTTTTCCTGGTTTAATTTTGCTGAGGGGCTCATCCCATATTCCCTGGTGTTTTTCCCGTGTTTCCTAAACAAGCACACACAGAGCTTTCATCCCTTGCGTGTAAGAAGAATGGGCTAAAAAAAAAAAATAAAACAAGCGCCAAGAGAGCTGTCTCTTGTCATCATGGGATTTTCACTGTGGGAGTTTCAACATCCTTTTTCTCCTGATTCTTTATCTCACTTACTTTTGTGTGATATGAATGTCAGAAGATAAACAGGGGCCTTTCAGCAATTGGTTGGAAAGACACTTCGATTGCCTGTCAGGATTAAAAGACAGTCCTAAAAATCTGTAAAAAAAATCTGCTGCAGTGAAAGTGGAAGAACAACAACAAAAAAAACCCACAAAAACCTTATGCTGGCTCAAAGACAAAATGTCCTACTTAGTCTAACAGATTCTCACAGGGAAGTTAATACTGGGATGGCTTCTATGCATGGGTAAYATCTTAAAATAATAAATATTGCCTTAAGAAAAAGAGTTGTGAGGATCTTGAAGCTAGCTGATGTATGTTGTCATGTCCCTCAAGGCATTAGCATCTGATGTGCTTTTAGAGATGAATCAGGCTCCAAAGTTATCCATGTACAAAAATAAGCTTTCAAACCAGCATTAAGAGAAAAGAAAAAAAAAAAAAAGAAAAAGTACTAAAAATCTGATTTTAAATATGGTCTTGATTTTTTTCCTGTTCTTGTGAACCTCTGAACCTTGTGCTCTTCAGAGGGGTGCAACTCATTCATTTCAGTGTGCAAGGAAGTATCTCATGTGAATGGAAATTTGTAAAGGTGTGAACTTGGCAAAGGAATCCAGAGTGATTAATAAACAGCAGAGAAGAGTTTCCTCTTTTATGATCTACATATGGTTGTCTCAGAACTTGATCCTGCTCCCAGGAGCACCAGTGAGAACTCCAGCTGAGCAYTGAGGTGAGAAATATCCCCACAAATCTTGCTGCTCTGGAGTTTAGGTCTCTCAAACAGCCTTTAGGACTATTAGCTTTCAAATTTGGAATTGGGAAGTTGTCGCGGAAGCAAGCACAGTGTCATTGTACATACACAAAATAAGAGAGAGAAAAAAAGTCTAATTTTTCTTAATTTCATCAGGAGAGAGCAGTGACAAAGACAAAAGTCAGAGGGAGCTGATCTGATGTGTCTTATCTCTCTGKTCACAAAAAGTGGTGGCTCTCAGKGATGGGCTGCTCCTAAAGACAGGACTAGGAGTTATCTCTATTCCCAATTTTCTCTACCACTTTCCCGGTCATTGGTAGCTGGAGAACAAGAGGAGGTCAGACAGAAACTTCAGACTGTGGTTTACGAGCACATCATGATGTCAGGCTTCTGGAAATTTAATTAGACACACCTTGCAATGTGGAATGAAAATTCTATTGGAAAAAGCAAACTGCTTGATTTTCTCTAATTTCATCAATAATCATAATAATAATTGCCATTACTATTATCTTTAAATTACAGTTCCAGGTAGAAAGGAAGAATYGGATCCTTTTCCAGTTAATGCTATATGTTCTTCATCTTCCTTTTTGYAGTCAAAAAGGAATGGATTCATCTCCCTGTAAATTCCATTTTATGCTAAATATACCAGCAAACTATCCTTCACATGAGACCTTTACTGCACAGGGCAACTTGTCAGATCAAAACATCTCTGGATGGAGAAAATGCTCAAAACACGGGGGAAATAATCACAGCATTGACAAAGAGCTGCTCACGAGGGACAAGATCCCACTGGAATGGTGGAAGAGGGTAATAAAACCCAAAATTTCGGTGTGACACCTACCTATTGCATCTCCTTGCTCGTGCACCATGGAGGCCAGGTCCTTGATGATCTGGTTCACATCCAACATGTCACTCTGAAAAAACAGAAAATATAACATTAACGAGGAATTGAAAATATCAAATCATAAGAGGCACGTTCCACAGCCCAGCTTGGCAAAGAAAAACCCAAACCCAGAAATCTTCATCTGTGCAGAAGCAGAAGGGAAAGTTGTAATGCTTCTATAGTAAATAAAAAATTCCCTYGGTGCTGTGGTTTGCTGGATCTAAGTCAGCCAGCTGACTCAAGCTTTGTGAGAGGAACAAGTGGAATGATCAGATTTTATGGTTGCTTTTCAGAATTGTGGGGGGCTGAGGAAAAACAACAATAAAAACAACAGTGGCAAACCCTTCTCGTTCTAAAAAAGTTATTGTTGGTGCAGGCCATTCATCCCAGACTGTTTTCTCCCACACAGAAAAAAAAGGCCATCTCTCAGCACAGCATCCATCTGATGCTATTCATAAACCGATGGAGATATAATCAAAAACTCCCTGAATTTGAAATTGTAGGGCAATAAGGAAAGAACTGTTTGATGAACAGATTCATTTCTATGTTTTCAAGTAGGAAAAAAAAAAAGTAACTGCATTCAGCTCTGAAATTTTCTCTGTGAAAACACAGCAAATTACCCATGAGTTTGTTTCCTTCATTTCTRAACACTTACCACATAAAAGAGCAAATGTGAGCATATGTTGACTTCACATGACACTGTGTCTTGTAAAAAGAATTAATTTAGCAATAATAGACATAACAATATAGAAACTGCTAAATGCACTACCAGTAAGGCAACATTACCAGAGCAGAAAAAATAAAAGACACTCAAACAGGATGGTTTTGTTTTTTTTTTTTTCCAACTGTGCAAACCAGAGAATCACAGAAACATTGAAATGGGCAGGAACCTCTGGAGATTATTTAAGGCAACAGTCCTTCTCAGAGCAGAGAGTTACAGTGGGGTACTAAGGGCCAGGTCCACTTGGTTTTGTCTGAATCCAAGGATGGAGGTTCCACAGAGTGGCAAACTAATCCATGCAACCCTGAGTGTTGGATCTTGTCTGGATTTCAGGCACCCACCAAATCATCCACTTACCAATTTTTTTCTTTTCAAGTGCTTTCACAGAGGCATTACAACCATTTCTGACTGGCCCAGGCTTGGCCAGAGGCACATCCCTCTTGGAGCCACCTGGAATTGGCTTTGCTGGACATGGGGAAGATCCCAGCAATTCTCACAGAACCTGGCCACACAAACCCAGCACATCTCTGTAGTGGGGAGCCCAGCACTGGGTGCTTTTTAAAGCATTGAGAATATTTCCTAAGAATCTGCTTCTCCTGATGTTAGTGGCACAGTAATTAATTTATCTGCTTGGCTCCTGTTGCTAATCCAGTCCCTCTGGCTGGAGATGGTGAAAGCAGCTCCATGGGAAGGATCTGAAGGTCCTGGTGGACAATGAGCTGTCTATGACCAGAAATTTGTCCTTGTGGCCAAGAATGCCAATGGGCTGCTGGGCTGCATTGGGAAGAGCATGGCCAGCAGGTCAAGGGAGGTGATCCTGCCCCTCTGCTCAGCCCTGGTGAGGCACATCTGGAGTGCTGTGTCCATTCTGGGCTCCTCAGGACAGGAGGGACATGGGGCTCCTGGAGCTGGGCCAGTGGAGGGTTTTGAGGATGATTTGGGACTGGAACATCTCCTGTACAAGGAAAGGTTGAGGGAGCTGGGGCTGTCCAGCCTCGAGAAGAGAAAACTGAGAGGGGACCTCACCCTGTGTGTCCCTGTGTGCAGGGAGAGCTCAGAGCAGGGTCCAGGCTCTGCTCCTGTTGCCCAGGCAATGGGACAAGAGGAACAGGCAGGAATTGATGCCCAGGAAGCTCCATCTGAACATGAGAAAGAACTTCTTCCCTGTGCAGTGATCGAGCACTGAACAGATTGTCCAGAGAGGGTGTGGAGTCTCCCTCACTGGAGATATTCCAGAACCATCTGGACACAATCCTGTGCCCTGTGCTCTRGGATGGCCCTGCTGGAGCAGGGAGGTTGGACAAGATGACCCCACTGTGGTCCCTTCTACCCTGACCCACTCTGTGATTCTGYRTTCATYCCAAAAGATCCAATTTCTTCCACCTCACTTTTTAAAGAACTCAGTTTCCCTACTGGCAAAATCAGAAAATGGTGCAAAATGAATCCATGTCTTCCTACCGAGGTTTGCTATGAGAATATAACTGGCATAACACTTAAACAAGTAATGCAATAGAATTTCATCAATTTAAAATGAGGTCTGGGAGTCCCGCTGTGAGTGCTAGAATACACCAAATTGTTGAATAACTGAAAATGTAGGAACAGTGAAAGAYTGAAAAAGCTGTGAGAAATCATAATAAAGCAAAAAACGCTCCCCCAACCAAAGACTGAGTAAGGCACCACAAAATGCACTTCATTCCTTCACTTGTCAAGCATAATGAAGCTTTAATTACGGATGGTATTATCCCTAACTTGTAAATACTGCAGCATATTTTGCAAAACAATGAAGTTGAAGTAACTTGAGATTGCACTTGAGCACTGTGGTAGTAAATCATTGCTGGTAAATGAGGAGGAATTAGCAATGATTTTTTGGGGTGGGGAAGTTTTCTGAGCTTTTTGGTAAAAATACTTCAAAGGAAAAAGCTAAAGTTAAGCAAAATGYGAAGAATTGAGAATTAACTTTAATGTGTTGTTCTGCTCTCATTTAACTGCTTTGCAAAAGATGATTAAGGAAAATAGAAACAAAACAACAAAAAATACTAAAAAAGCCCAGAATGCTGATTTGTCTCTCTTAACTAAATTGTCACTGACATAATTTTTGTCTTCTGTTCCTTGCAACATAAACACAACCCTTTCTGCACTTCAGTCTGCTTTATTTTGCTATGCTTCCTTTCCAGCACTTTAAGTGAAGGTGGCTTAAAACTCACAAATACATTTTTGCACATACATTTGGTTAGAGAGGGTTTATTGCAATATATRGAATTATATACATTCCCCACCCTCCCCAACTATTTCCATTGGAATAAAAAAGGTGATGCATTGACTTCTTTTAGGGTCCTTCTCAGATAATTAAGCCGTGAGGAGTTTGGCTGTGGTGATCCCCAGATATCCTGTGAGGCAGGGAAGAATGAAAAAGGAAATTCAGGGAAGAATGAGGAAGGAAATTCGGTGCTGGTTCAGCTTTGCCATTTGTATTCAGGTACTTGGGAAAAACCATCTGCAGCTGCAGAGTATAGATCCTCTCCATAATGTTGCAATAACACTTAAAATTACTGTTTAGCAAATACGCATCGGTGAGAGCCAGCGCTGAGTTGTGAGGAAAGAAACACTGCAACTCCTGCACTTCAGGAAAAACAAACAGGGTGAGTTATAAAGCACAGAGTKCTAAAACAATCTGACCTGAAGCAAGAAATCTGTTGAATAATTTAACCTGGCAATGTGAAGTTTCAAAGTCCTTGATATATGTAAGCAAAACAAAGAAATAGAAGAAAGAAAAATACTCAGAAATAAAGACCTTCCATAATGGAATTTACCTTGGAGCTACTCTCCTGCTCCTCCTTGCCAGGTTTGCTCYATCCCCAAATATCTTTGATCTTGCCAGGAATCAGAGCTTGTTAGGAAAATCAGATTGCCTTCGGTTTCCCACGTTTGCAGGCACTTTTCAGAATTCACAGTGAAACCCAGCTCCTCATAAATCTCTGACTCCACAGAACCCAGGAGTGCAGCAGCCACCACCATTCCCAAAATTCTGTCACCCTGCCAGCTAACGAGGCTGAGGGTCCCTGGGTTTTAATTAACACCTTTGCTGTCTAGCAATAATTCATTCACTGTATTCTGCAGCAAGAGGGAGACAGGTTTAAACTATCCCATGTAATTCCTCTTTTTTT